TCCATTCTATTCATGGTTAGTGTCTTTTTTAACGGGCAGGAAACAATATGTCAAAATTAAAAATTTTAACTCAAGTATGTATGATGTAAGTTCAGGTGTCCCTCAAGGGTCTCATCTTGCTCCATTACTATTTAACATTTTCATTAATGACATTAAACTTACCAACTCCCATATGTTGCTGTTTGCTGATGACCTCAAATTATTTCGTATTATTAAGTCACCGGACGATGCTGTACTACTTCAAAATGAAATAAACGTCCTCTCGAATTGGTGCAGCAAAAACAACTTACTTCTAAACGTTTCTAAGTGCAAAGTATTAACTTTTTCTAGAAAACGAGAAAAATATATTTATGACTACCTCTTATATGAATCTGAACTCACTCGCGTTTATAAGAATAGTGATCTAGGCATAATCTTTGATGAATCTCTAACATTTAATGAGCACTACTTGTATATTCAAAATAAAGCTTCATCTATGCTATAGGATTTATAAATCGAAGCTGTAAAAGTTTTAACAATCCATATGCATTAAAAGCTTTATATTACTCGTATGTAAGATCAATTTTGGACTATGCCTCTATGGTTTGGTCCCCTAGTAGAATTGGTCCGATACGCGCAATAGAGTCAATACAAAATCGATTTTTGAGATTTCTATCCTTTAAGTGCGACATTCAGCGTCAACCTTATTCTTCCTACTTACCAATATTAACAATTTTAAATATGGAATCGCTGGAGATAAGAAGGAAAAGACTTGACCTGTGTTTTATTTTTAAATTACTTAATGGACAAGTTTATTGTCCATGTTTAATTTCAATCTTAAGCTTTCTGGTTCCTAATCGAAGTACTAGACAAACAAATACGTTCTATGTTCCATTACAATCTACTAACTATGGCAAAAACGCACCTATGAATCGATGTATGGAATTAGTTAATACATATAATGTAGATTTATTCTTGTGTACAAATGTTGAATTATTTAAAATATATTTAAATAATTTATTAATATAATATGTATTTATCGAACCTAGTACCTAACTAAGATGTGTATCCTATTATTATAATTTATGTTTATACTATAATTAGCCAACGACCTTAATATTATTATTATTTGTATTTACTACCTATTAATTTGTATTACTCGTCTCTAGTCTATAAGAAATTATTTTATAACTGTAAACTACATCGACCATTTTTCTTATGTATATTTCTATTGGGCATCCGCCCGTCCATAATAAATAAATAAATAAATAAATAAATATTACATAATTGAACTTGGCTATCATTTTACATATATGTTTTGTTGGAAGACAAACTCTACCGTATGTACGACTAACTGCTGACCTATACATATTAGAAAACACACATAATTGTAAGGCCTATGGCCAACACACACTATGTATTATAGTAAGTTAGTTCACTGTGCACCTTCACCTTTATCACACAATACGATTACTGGACTCCGTAGGACTACGATACATTATACCTAGTATAATAGAATCATAGTTGATATATTTGTGAGTATTAGTATTTGTAATTGTTTAATAAATAATAAAACATAATTATAACTGAAATAGAATCCTAGTAATTTAAATATATTTAAGATCCTGATATCTATATATCTGCCCCTGGCTACGGTATTTATATCTATAGGATGCATACGATTCTCCCTGGATATCTTATATTTAACTGGTCGTTCCCCCGACCACGTTACAATATGTAAAATATTAAACACTAAATTATATAAATATATAATTCTTACTTGCAGTTGCTGCTGTAACTGGCTGTGCATTACTGTTTAACAAACCTAAAACGGAACAATACTTTATTATTTCAAACGAGAATTAAATGCATTGTATTGTTTTTTATACTACAATCATGTACGTATGGTTGTTTATACTAAACCCTTTAAAACGCTCAGATTGCATTTATTATACAGTAATTTTAATCGAACCCGTGATACTGAGCATATACATCATGTGCGTACTAATCTTTGTATATTGACAAAAAACAATTATTTTCCCCGATAGAATCCTAATATTCTATTGTATGACTATGAAATTTACTCACCGTGAATACTTTTCTCGTGACTTCTGAGAGCATCCTTTCTGCTAAAAAAAAGTGTTGCAAATAAAACACTTAATTTGTTTAGTGTTATTGTGACACTTTAAATGTCTTAATAAAATATCTTTCTGCGAGAAAACAGATACACACTGATCGCAAATAAATATTTTTAATATGCATGAAATCTAACGATATACACACACAAATGACTGTCGGCTCGTTACTAACGCATCTAACAATGGCCAAGCCGAATAATAATAATAATTTTTGTACCCAATTCAAAATTCATCGTTTCCGAGATTTTTGCTTAAATGCTGTCTTAGCAGTTTCATACCACCGTATAACGATGTAATTTTTTTTCTCTCAAACACAATACCCATGATATACCTCATGTTATAGTAGTGACAGCGACGAAGAAATGTCTGAAGTCTATTCACCTGCCGTAACATCAGATAAAGATTTGTAAATAGTGTAAATAGGTTAATGTAAATAGATTAATAAATAAATAATTATAAATAGTTTTTTGTTATAAATTTTTATTTTACAAATATATAATATAATATATATTAGGTACTAGATTCAATACAAACTTCTAACAGCATTTTTTTGTCATCTTCACCCCAAATATATTATTTTTCTAATGCATTAAGGCATACATCGTCAGTTTCTTCACCACCGCAAAAGTCGACTTCATTTGGTTTATCTATGATAGTAAATATTTTATACATAATGCATAAAACAATAATAAAACAAACATACCATTTGTTCGTTGTTGATCAACACAATCCTCAGATATAATATGCTTAACATCGTTTCTAGTCTATAACAACAACAAAAACATAATATAACGTCAGAAAAGTAAGTGCTACAATATTATGTCATACTAACTTCGTCAACTGCAGTAGCTTCCTCTGGGGTTAATAAATTTATATAATAGACCCGTGTCGGTGTATTTGATAGCTACAAAATATATGCGTAACTAAACTTAGCAATATATACATATGTACGTAATGAAACTTACCATTTCATCCAACTCGCCATTTGCTAGAAAGTCAATGAAACCTGTTGAAATGTCCGGTGTGTTTATATCAGATGCTTGGCTGCTGTTTAACGACATGAGGTATATCATGGGTATTGTGTTTGAGAGAAAAAAAATTACATCGTTATACGGTGGTATGAAACTGCTAAGACAGCATTTAAGCAAAAATCTCGGAAACGATGAATTTTGAATTGGGTACAAAAATTATTATTATTATTCGGCTTGGCCATTGTCAGATGCGTTAGTAACGAGCCGACAGTCATTTGTGTGTGTATATCGTTAGATTTCATGCATATTAAAAATATTTATTTGCGATCAGTGTGTATCTGTTTTCTCGCAGAAAGATATTTTATTAAGACATTTAAAGTGTCACAATAACACTAAACAAATTAACTCTTTGAGGGGCCGTGGTTAGTATGCTAACCACTTTTTTTTTTACCGTTCAGGTGCGGTGGTTACTATTTTAACCACTTTTAAAATTATTTTTAATATTTTTTTGATGATGGTCAGCATACCAATCACCTTATTATCATCTTATACATGCATCAAACAATATCACTGCCGCTGGTCTGATATCATTTCTCGCGTTTTTCATCATTTATTATCATTAACAATATTTTGATATACGTACTAAATGTTATGGTAAAGAGACATATTGCCCACATGGGTCTTTTTTCTAAAGGAAATTTTCGCCCCTCAAAGAGTTAAGTGTTTTATTTGCAACACTTTTTTTTAGCAGAAAGGATGCTCTCAGAAGTCACGAGAAAAGTATTCACGGTGAGTAAATTTCATAGTCATACAATAGAATATTAGGATTCTATCGGGGAAAATTGTTTTTTGTCATTATACAAAGATTAGTACGCACATGATGTATATACTCAGTATCACGGGTTCGATTAAAATTACTGTAGAGTGTAGACAGTTGTTTCTTTTGTTTACATTATTTGAACCGGTGTGCCGTGTCAATCGTTCTCAACGGATGATAATCTTTTTTTTTACTTAATATACGGTTACCGAATACTTGTTGTATAATAAATGTAATCTGAGCGTTTTAAGGGGTTTAGTATATACAACCATACGTACATGATTGTAGTATAAAAAACAATATAACGCATTTAATTCTAGTTTGAAATAATAAAGTATTGTTCCGTTTTAGGTTTGTTAAACAGTAATGCACAGCTAGTTACAGCAGCAACTGCAAGTAAGAATAATATATTTGTATGATTTAGTGTTTAATATTTTACATATAATATCACTTTTGTAGACAACGATGGTGTAGCAGTATTGGATAAGGTTGAAAAAAGTGGATTGCATGAAAGTCTATATTATATAGTAAATATATAGTAAATATATCGTGTTTAATTAAAAATGTTTATTATAGATGATAAGTGATAACAACGCATTTGATGATAAATTAATGTACGAAGCCAGTAGTGATGGCTATTGTATTGATGTGTTGGATAAGGTCGAACATAATGAAATGTGTAAAAGTATGTTATATTAAATATGTATATCTTGAATCAACTATTATTATTATTACCTATTTGGTTTTAGATAACTGCAATATCACTTTTGAAGACGAATATGATAGTTTTTGTATTGATGTATTAGATAAAGCGGAAAATAATGGATTGTGCAAAAGTATTATATGTAAATATATATTTAAATGATATCATAATTAATATTTATATTGATTTTTTTTTTTAGCTGATAATGATAAGCAGGAAATGATTTAAATTGCCCCAAATATTTTCGTCGAGAATATACAAGCTGAATCTTCAAAACAAAGTCCATATTTAATATAAATATATATATATTTTTGTTTTATATAAAACTTATAAATTATTTAGGTAAACGTGTATATAATGAGAATTCAAATGGACAGAATAAAAATAAACGTATGAGGACGACTACATCATCATCGAAATTTGTTCTAACAAAGTCTGCGTTCAACGGATTGTGCAAAGAATATTTAAAAAAAACACTGATGGTATTAAAAATGCTAGAGATTTTTTAGACCATTCAAAGCCGGAGATTTATGCTATACTAAACGAATCAATTGAAAACTCTCCGGTAAAGTATAATATTAAATTAGAGGCCACATATTATATTATACCTAGGTAATGCACATACGAGAGAAAATAGAGCATTTAAAACTCGATCAAGATCAGTATTTCAATCAGATGATGTTAACAATTTTTAGAATTAGCTTTTATTAAGCTATTAAAAGAACAAAACGAGATGGAGGTCAAGGGCAGTGTCTTTTCATTAGAGAGTATAGACATAATTATATTCAACGTAAATGTATACAAACCTTTTGGAGGTTCGTCATATTTACCACTTCCGGCTTTTATAGAGAGGAAAAAAGCGACGATTAATGCTCGGAACTTTGATGAAAAATGTTTTAAATATACCATGTTAGCTAAACTAGTAAATCCTGTTCATGCTGAAAGAATAGGATCTAATTATGTTGAAGTAGAGAACAGATATGATTTTAAAAATATAAATTCCCCTGCTTCATTAAACGATGTAGTAAAATTTGAAAAAACAAATAAAGTTTCGGTTAATATATATTATAGTTTAAAAAACGGAGAGCTCAAATATAAAAATAACGTAAAAAAAATTCAAAAAGAATAAATTATACCACAACAAAACCTGAACAAACTATAGTTTATCCAATAAAAGTATGCGAGGAAGAACTTGATGATCACCATGATTTATTATTATTTGGAGATGGCACTTGAAAACAATATTATTGTTGTATAACAAATTTAGCAAAGTTAATCGGAGCGCAACTAACAAAAAATGGACACGCTATGTCATTATGTAAAGTGGGATGTTTTAAGACATACTTGGTGTTAACCGTGTGGGTTACCGCAGAACACGCCTAAAGCCCATAAATTGAATGTAATAAAAATAAGTCTCTGATACCATTATTACCGCCTCCTAATACGTATATGAAGTTTGAAAATTGTTATCTTACGCGCAAACATCCATTTTTTATTTATGCAGACTTTGAATCAATATTAGAAAAAAATAGTAATAATGATTCAAATAATACACACTGTTGCCGCCCGAAATGCAACAACATTATTGATATGTTAAGGCCACTTACCACCACCGACTCACGCACACACTAATGCAATCACATACCTGTTACCTGTTTGTTCCTATATATTTATATTATTGTTTTTATTTCTGTTTAATTGTCCGTATCAGCTGTGAATTATTATATAATATTATGTAAATTATCGCCGCCGCCGCGCCGGCTGCGTGTTTATTATTATAAGACACGGCCGCCGCAAAAGTGCACTCACCGCTGTCATCAAGACACAATACTATTAGCGAGTGTACCGGTCGCCGGTTTGATATTATATTGTTTTTTAAGTTCAGGCGCGAATCGTCTTTTTTGTATTATTCTTATGTGAGGCGCAAATCGTCTTACATATTATAATTATTGAACCGTGCTGTTATTGTCGTGCGCGAAGCGCCATATTTTTGTTATTGGTAAAGGGTGCGAATCACCACCAATCTATGTTATATAGTTAATGCACAGGCGCGAATCGCCATTTATCATTTGTTTATAATTTATAGTTATATTGTGTGTGTTATTTATTTTACTATATTATTGCTTTTAAAAAAGGTTAGGTAGCAACTGGCCAGCGGCGCTCCGTCAAATTGTGAGTTTTATTTTATATATTTATTATTATATTACAGCTCAAATAGCTAGTTATTACTTATTATCAACTATTTGGCCATCTTTATATAATTCTTAGCGGCTCAAATAGATTGTTATAAAATATTATTATATTGTTTTTGCCTATTGGCTATAATTTTATTTATTTTGTATTATTTGAAAGCGTCTTATTATATCATATTAATAACATTGAATTTGTGTTGACATTATTTGCATACACACACATACACATACACACCTACTCACCGCACACTACCTAGCACTCAGAGTATTTGCTCGGCGATCCCGTCCACTACTCTTGAGTTGCTATACACATATTAATACGCAACACAGATCGGTCGGTGTGTGAGTGTTCTTGAGCATGAAGTATTTCGGTACCGGGCACATGAACTATCGTTGTTTCGGTCTCGGCCCAAACACACACAATATTCACCACCATGATGTCATGAGTTATTGCTATTATATCAAGCCGAGTGATGATATACTAAACGAATTGTTAGAAAAATACAATATTGAGACGGGACCAGTTGTGTTCAGAGGTGATTCAAGTTTTAACAGAGGTGACGTTGCAAAGAAATTTACGGAAGAAATTGTTAAAGTTGCCCTTAAAATTGAAAAAATATTAAACGTCAATGTGCCGATTATAATGACTGATGAAAATAAAAAAAGTCATCAAAATATCGTCGCTCAAGGATCATGTCCATTATGTAAATCGAAATTTATTACAACTTTTAATAATGTTGTTAAAGATCATGATCATTTGACCGGAAAGTACAGAGGGACTGTATGCAGTAACTGTAATTTATTAATGGAAAAGCCTAGTTTCGTTCCATTTTTTCACATTTTATTGTGACACAGCTAGGTTTCGATACAAAATCGATTAACATTATACCGAATACCAAAGAGAAATTAATATCCTTTACAAAATATATATCAAATACTTTTCAAATTCGTTTTGTTGACACTTATAGATTTATGTCGACTAGTTTGGATAAACTAGTAAATAATTTGGCTAAGGCTATACATTAAAATTTAGAGAGACCAGAAGAGTGTTTAATGCAGGGCTTAAATCCAAAAAAATAATACCGTTTACCGTTATATGGATATCAAACGTTATGACAAAATTACTGTTTAACGTTATATGATATTAAACGTTATGAACAATTTAGCGTTTAACGTTATATGATATTAAACGTTATGATCGATTTAGCGTTTTACGTTATATGATATTAAACGTTATGATCGATTAATCGTTTAACGTTATAAAGAATTTAAACGTTTATAAAATGTTCCGTTTAACGTTTAAACGTTTTAAATATTAATTATTTATAAATACATTACTAAGAAATGTAGAACTCGTTGAACGGGTTTAATACTATTTACCCAGACATTATTTATAAATATTTTCCACTTTTGTAAGAAAGCCACAGACTTCTATACTACACTAGATAAGGAACTCTTATACAATTTACATTGTTACAAGTGAAGCTCAGCTGTGAACGGCCGCCATTTTGTCGGTTGGCAAAACATTTCATTTATTATACAAAATGTATTAGGAATAATATTTTTTTTAACGGTCAAATAAAATAGTAAATGTAAAATGACTTATATAAAATATTTTTTTGTTTTTGTAAACTAAATGTTTAAAAATAATAAAATACGATATAAAATAAATCATAATATCATCTTATTTGTCATATGAAATACCATACAATTGCCAACCGACCTTGAAGCTTCAATTCATGACCGGAGTTCGCTATCTAGTAATACATAGAAATCTGTGAAGAAAGCCTAAATATAATATTGATAATGCGTATTATTTCTTTGAAATATTTATGGCTATTTTAAACGTTCATAGTTCCATGTACATTTAATTAATTTTGATTAGTACCTAATATTAAAGTCACTTTATTATTATAGTCCTATCAAGCAACAGTTCTACAAAACTAACTAAATTCTAATTATATTCTATAGATAGTTTTTAATATTTTCGTAATTTCCTTTGTTGTCTGACATGTTTGTTATGATTCAACTTTTAATCGTTATTCGATATTAATTTTAATCGTTTATCGTTACTGTTCCGTTATCCGTTATCCATTTCAATCGTTTATCGTTACTGTTCCGTTATCCGTTATCCATTTCAATCGTTTATCGTTTACCGATATGTTATCCGTTATTCGTTTCAATCGTTTTTTGAATCGTTTAACGTTATACTCGTAACGTTATGAAAACGTTTTGAAGCCCTGGTTTAATGTTAGAAAAGAATAATATTAATCATTATATTCAACTTACATTATCTCGTAAATTATCCTGAAAACCTCCTCCAAATTTGTTGGTGGAGGCTGAACTTGAAGTAATGGTTGCTCAATAACACTAAACACCAAATATGATAAATGAAATAATAATGATAATAAAAATAACATTAAACTTACGGTACAAATAAAAATGGCATCTCAAATTCATTTTCGTAATTTCGACGTTCTAATCCTAATGTGTTAATAAAAAAATAACAAAACATTGCCGTTAAGGAATACATTGTAAACAACTCGTGTACCTTTTTTGTAAAAACGTATGTGCATACTAATTAAATGAGATAATGTATCATTATTTTAATTCATATTCAAATGGAAGGGATTTTAAGTATGGGAATGCTGGATGACAAAAACCAGGAAAAAAAAAAAAAAAAAATGATATATAAGTGGTAACGATATGCTTTATAAACAATTCCATGCAAAATCTTTGACCACCCTGTTGCATTTATATAGGTAAATTACATACACGTATATAACGGTTACGGTTGTAGTGGCTGAAGATATAGTACACGTGTGTGTGTGTGTGTGTGTGTGTGTGTGTGTATATATGTTTAATATAGGTATTACATACGCCGAGAGTACTTTGACTGGGCAGGGAGTAGCGGTGTAGGTGGTCTACCTTGACTTTGTGGTGGAGAGTGGCGGCGTTGGCCAAAAATATGGCCAGGCCGGGAGTAGCGGAGGTGGCGGTGGCGGTCTTAGGATCGGCAAATATATCCTAATTATACAGATGATTGGGATAAGCTTGAAGAAACCAGTTTACCGGCAAAAAAAAGATTTTTACAGTTCATTGAAAGAATCACATATAAAACATGAGGATTTTGAACATGCAAATACAGTTTGGAACCATTTCAGCTGCCAAACACTCGGGGAATCCTCTGATCTTTATTTAAAATCGACGTGTTTCTGTTGACTGATGTGTTTGAAAATTTCCGAGACCTCTGTATAGTCACTTACCATCTGGACCCATCATTTTACTACACTTTACCTGGATTTAGTTTTGACTGTATGTTGAAATACACGGGTCAACAACTCCAATTGATTTCGGATTATGATATTTTGTTAATGTTCTAGAAAGGTGAGGTTAGGTTATTTATTAAAAAAAGAATGAGATAAAATATCTGTTTTTATTATAGGAATTCGAGGAGAAGAGTAAGAGGTTCGATGTCCGGCGAGCTGACAATGGCTGGCTAAAGGACTGTTTGACGGTAAATCAGACTGGATTGAGGAAGATATACAATTCAGAGCGGATTACCTAACTTCGGAAATACGTGAGGTCTGTAGGAAATCAATGCCACGAGTGAAGCTGCGCGTACTCGGGAAACATTTGTGGTATACGGAGGAACTCGATGCGCAAACGCGGTAGATCAAGCGGTTGAGACGGCAAATAGGAGATTCGGGTCGAGGGAAGCGAGGAAAGGACAGTCGCATTAAGGGAAGTGTATAGAAGAGATCGAAATAATTATACAGCAGGAACGCAAAAAGAGCAGCGTAGAACCTAGCAAGCGTTTACTAAAGAGGAGGAAAAGAAAAGCCATGGGGGTCCGCTTACCCTTGGTGTAAGGAAGGAGTAAACACCGACTTACGTGGTGTGCTTGCAACCCTCCCCAAGGCGGGAGGAGGGTGCACGGTGGGCTCGGAAGACATTTTGGAATTACTGCTCGATTCAGTGATTTCTTCGGACTTGAAAGAAGGGGAAACTGAGGATCACAAAGGAATCCGGGGGAGACTGGAGTACAACTCGGTGAAACCGGAAAACAGTCTGGATGTTCCCATGTGGTGCGAAGTCCTTTTTTCAACATGGCTATTCAAGAGATGCGATTGTTTACACTAGGGTTTTACTCCTAGTGCACGTCGATGTAAGAAACTGGTCTGTGACCGTACCCGTTTTGAAAGAAGCATTTCGGTGATTCTTCACCACTGGGTCAGTGGTTTTTTACTATCCAGCGATTACCCGTGATACAGCCACCATGTTACAGCTGAGGTAGGCTCCTCAACCTTAGAGAACATCATCACCAGGGATCTAAGTCTGTTTTTAATTCCATTTTGAGTCTCCTCATTTATGGTTACCTTTTTTGCTTTTAGTTCTTTTGTTGGTCTTGCTTGTAGAAGCATCTACATCGTTAATCCACTATAAGGAATATATATTCTAAGAGTGACATATGCAGCATGTATCTGGATGGATGACTGGTTCGAAACAACAAGAAAGAAAATAATGAGTGGGCAAAGAGCACTACTGATCGCAGTATCAGCAGTATACAGATCGACATCCACGGACGCCCTCCAGGTCATCACCGGACTCCTCCCTCTGGATTTACAAACACTATGGGAAGGTAACAGACAAGAGCACAGGATCAACAATATAACCTTGGAGGCACAGACAGAACTACAGGAGATTACAATTATGGCTGGACAGATGGACAAAATCAAAAAAAGGGGAACGTGCCAGGAATAAACTCAAACAGGTACTTTGGTGTTGTATATATAACGAAATTATAAAATATTAAAATACCATACGAATCAGAAAGTCAATCAAACCGAGTCAGCAAAATTGCCACGACTACTTAAGGCGACGTCTGCGACGGGAGCGGGGCTGTTGTTTTGTTTGTTTCGCTTATTGTAGTAGCCAACGAGCTGCAGTATTTTTATGTTTCTTTTTATTATTTGTTTTTGATATATTTTATTATATTTAATTCTTTTTTTTTAAAAACCAAATGTCACTGTTTAAAAAAAATAAAACTAAGCCATTAGACACTGTGAAAGTAGTATACAATGCTCAGAGGAACCAACTTCAAGTCCAGGATAACACAGAATTAGCCTAAAAATAAATATTAAGATTAATTAAACATTAGGTAATAAATAAATATGTATAATTTTTCCTTTTGGGGGTGAAGAGAACAAAAAAAAAAAAAAAAAATAAAAAAAAATGAGACTAGTTTTAAGACAAAAGGGGAAATATAGGATTAAGTTAGAAAACTAACCATTATTCTTAAGGCCAAATGTCAACAAAAACAAAAATGTAAAATAATACAATTAAGCAGAAAAATCAACCATTTATTTTAAGTTACACATAATAATGTAAAATTAAGTAAAAAATCAACAACTATTTTTAAGGCAAAAAGCAAATGTAAAAAACTCAACTAAGCAGAAAAATGTAACATATTATTATTATTTTTTTTTTTTTTGGGGTACATATAAAATTGTAAAATTTAGACCAACCATTTGTAAAAAAATTGTGTACCACTTAATATATAGTATAAAAATGTTCAAAATTAAATCAAAACTATTTAAAAACTTAATCAAAATAACTAATATCATGAAACGAGAATCAAAGAATATAAATTTCAAATCCATTTTTACAGATGAACAAAAAAGTAGAAATCCCGAGACTAGAAAAAAAATCAAAAATTCCCAAATCAATATAAATAGAATCCAACAAGGTAAAGAAGCATACAATAGAAGCAAAATCAGGAGGACTCGAAAACACGAACCACAACAGCAAGTAATAAAAAAACAAAACAGCAGAGACAATAGCAATAGAGGAAGAAATAAGAAAGAAATTTGAAAACCTGGTGGATTTTATAACAAGAGAACAAAAAAATAAAGAAAAAGAATGATATTATAATGTCGTATAACCACAAATAGGTACGTAATATAAATATGAAAGATTCCCATTACAAAATACCTATGTGTAAAAATAAAAAAATATGAGGTCATATTTTATTTGTAGTAATGGGACTGTTGTATATATAACGAAATTATAAAATATTAAAATACCATACGAAGCAGAAAGTCAATCAAACCGAGTCAGCAAAATTGCCACGACTACTTAAGGCGACGTCTGCAACGGTAGCCGGGCTGTTGTTTTGTTTGTTTCGCTTATTGTAGTAGCCAACGAGCTGCAGTATTTTTACGTTTCTTTTTATTATTTGTTTTTGATATATTTTATTATATTTAATTCTTTTTTTTAAAAAAACAAGTGTCACTGTTTTTCTTCACGCCTTTTTTTAGAATATTTTATCTTACGAGTTGATACAGAGACGTTGTGGTGAATAACACTTTTAAAAACAGGTAGTAAGACATTGTGGTACTTACTTTCTCGTCCAGCACTCGTTATCGTGGTTAGTCGAGAAAGAGTAAGACTTTGTCTAGGTAAAAGATACCTCACCCTCGAACATCCAGTACTCGTTATCGTGGTCAGTTGTTCGGGAGTAAAATAACCTTAGGGTTGTATAGTGTAAATCCTGCTGGACTTTTATTTAATTATCCTATTGCGCAGTACTCGTTATCGTGGTCACCAAAAGGAGAACTTAAATTAAACTCATACAGCAGGTGTCGATAATTTACTCGTTCGACGGTTAGAGAATCGGAAACCGAAACATATCCGTTATATACGTCTAGCCTTTGCGTGGCGTATACGACATTGGGAAGAACACGTACCATGGCCACCAGAAAATGGGGAGTTCCTAACTACGAAGAGGCCCATGATACTCTCATGACGTTTGCGAAAGAAGCACTCATGAACCACAGAGATCGGTAGAATAACAAGGACCCAAGACCTGAATGGGTCAGGACGCAGCCACCGTCCAAGACGGATTGCTTAGCACTCGGGGTGTCTCGAATAAGTGCGTATGGCGTAAGTGGCAGAAGCGGTGAGACACGCTAGAGTGCGTCCTGACCCGGGGCGCACTCATACGTCAGGGACGAGTAGTAAGGCCCTGTGGTGGGGGCCTTGGAGAATACTACCATAGTATCCTCTGCTTGTCGTACGAGGCAACTGAAAGGGGAAATGGCCAGTCAGGGCCGGCAGCTTGGGCGTGGACCCACCGAAACCTCCGGGGACCAGGGCGTTGTGAGGTTCTGACATTGACCTCGTGAAGAGAGGGTCGGTCACTGGGCTTAGCCACCTGGTGACGCCTCTGGGAGGCGAGGCTGGGCCCACCGTGAGCCCGTGGTACACGGCCCAAATCTCGGGAGGACCATAAGCTGAGGTAGGCTGCCGACGAAGCTTCGTCCGAGCATTCCACCATTGATGTGCTTTACCTAACGGGAGGCGAGAATGGTGCTTCGGGATGTGAGGGGCCCCTCGGTGTTGAGAGATTAACACCTAGCCCTCACACGTCGGCCGCGGCTGACACTGTCCTCGGCCGACGGCGGTTTGGTTTCGGAGTGGCAGTTTGCAGGCACATACTAATTACTATGTGGTAAAAGACCATACGCTTGGTCAGGGCAAGGCCGAGTGATGGAGCTGGGCAGACTCGTACGGTGACAGCTGGCCGAGGAAGCACGGTCCCTCCTTAGCGCCTACCCAGCCTATCGTTGGGCTATATGAAGGTTTTCCGTAACTAAAACCGGAAAGCAAAGTGGATTGATTGCGGCCCCACCAAGGTGGCGAAAGTCACATGTATGCCCTTGCCGGATGGTACGGGTGCGCCTCCTTGCGTGCACGGTGCTCGTGGTCCTTAGACGACGTGCGGTCGCCTGTCTGTCGACCACGAACACAACAGTCATGTTCCGTCATGCAGTGTTAAGTGTTATGGGTCGGCTGACGGTGATTCCGAGCGAGTACCCGGCAAGTCCCGGGGAAACTGGTTTCATGACTGTGCAATTTAATTAGCATTTTTCCAAATCGCGTTTTGGTCTGAAATATAGGGTTAGGTTAGGTATTCGTGGATACTCGGGAATTAACTCCTTTCAAGGATACGAAAAAGGCGTGTGGCATATCCAGGTTTCGACAAAAAAATCGCAGAGTATTTTAAGTCCAATTAGGCTTATATAGATAAAGCATATTTGGACTTAAATCCTTTTTTTAGCCAATTTATAAGTCCAAAGTACCAGGGTACCATCCGTAAATTGCATCGTCGGAGCGCCGCAAGAGAATTTTTCTCAGATATTTTCGATTGCACGGTGATTCCAGGCGAGTACCCGGCAAGTCCGGGGAAAACTGGTTTTGAGATAGTGTAATTGAAAAATTCGAATTTCAAAAGGTAATAACTCCAAGGCAAATCGTCGGCCCCATATACGGATGAGCATTTCGTCTTTGTACTAAGTGCGCCTTTCAAAGGCCGCAAAGTCAAATTTTCAGACGACCGTAGAGCAGCCAATATAGGTCGTAAAAGAACCGGAGTTCAACACAAAGTTTCAGTACACTAAGTGCTAGAATATATCAAAAATTCCCCCCCCCTCAAAATTTTCACCCCGCAAATTTTGAATCGCTATATCTAGTTCAGTTTTTAAGATACAACGTCCATACAAAGACATTTCATTTTGGTTACACCTACATTAAAATGTCCCCCAAGGGATTTTTTGATTAATTGATGCCGAAATTTTACTGGCCTGGATTGGCCTGAAAACCGTCAGGGATACACAAGTCGGATTCAGAACGCGTTTAGGATAATTTCGAGGGAAAATTAGATAAATCCCTTCTAGGGATCTTCTGAAATAAGGGTCCGATTTAAAAAATTCTTTCGGGAATTAATCAAAAAATCACCAGTGAATACATATACAGCATATCATCCCAATTATGGACCATTCTGGGGAGGAAACGACCCCGGAGAAGGCAAAGAAGGGATACCCCTGCGAGCACTAAACCCTAGACAGTCTTTCTCTTCAGGATACTCTTCAATAAGTATTGCCAGCTCCCCAGGAGCTAGTTCAGCAAGTTCTGGTCTATCCTTCCTAACTGCGCAATCCAGCTTGAGCGCAAACAGGGGAGCAGAAAGAGATAGTGTTTGTGTTGAAATATACAATTAATATTTAGTATATGTAGTCAGCCTTGACACGTGTGTACAATTTAGTAACTAGTTATGTAGGAGCATAAGACTCCTGTGTAACATGACATGTAACATGACCTTGGTCGTGCATATATATAGGGCCTTTGATGTATGTAATATTCACTTGTAATATTCACAGGCGTCGTTGTACAGAGCGTATACGATGTGTGTGTACTGTCACAGTTTAATTGTCCAGTTGTACGTTATTATATATTATACTTATACATAATCATATTGTCGTGTTATTACTTATTAAATTAATGCTAACATCATGAGTCCGTCAAGCTTCACTTTCAACAGCTTGACGTACTATTCCGGGTTATCAACCACGGAGGATAGTTTCGTCGTGTTCGGATGAATTTTAGTTATATCGGATTCTTTACCTAACCAATAAATACAATGCTCATAATATATAAAGTTTGATTGATATTTTCAATACTCAAATAATAATAAAACTTGTGAAACCCTGCTTACGAACTATGTTAGTAGCTTGGACACAGTAGTTTTAAATAATAATACTAACAAGTTCAATAATAATAATTTGACAATAATTGTTGGCGTAAAGCCGACTCACCACACCCGTGTATGAGTAGTTGATGATGGCAATGAGTGACAAAACTTCCACAATCAAAACTTCCCGTTGGCCAGTGCTTGTCTATTATGTAGTCCAATGTGGATATGGTGGCGATCGAGGAACAACGCAGGTTTTGTTTAAGTAAATAATAGTTAAAAACCGAAATTACTCCGCAAAGCGCAAAACCGCACGAGACACAGCTCAACGACGTGCGTGTTCCAAGGTTCGATGACGACGACGACGACCTTCATAGACCGCTATGTCAACCGTCTTTTGAAGCCGTATAAGTTAGGCGGCGGGTTATCACTCTGTACTCAACAGATAGAGTTTATGTACTAGAAGAAATAGTGGAAGAAACAATAGAATTCTCAGAGCAAAACCAGGTAGAAGAATTGAACCATTCAACTGGGGAAATGTAAAGAATGAATTTGAAAATATGGTCAAAGAGGAATACAACAGAGCAAAATAAAACCGTAAAAATTGTCTCCGTGATTAGGATGAGGGGGAAAGGCAGTATAAAAACCGCAAGGGCAGTACACCTGATCTCTCAAAACCTAAGGATGACGATAACAAATTTTTTTCCTTTGGAAATTCTCTCAAGAAGGACAAGGTCGAGGAGAACCCGGCCTTAGCGAACCTTAGGGAATTGAGAAGAATGAAAAGAGAAAAAATAAACAAGAAAATAGCAATAAACAAGGAAAAATAAAAGCTGTATGCTCTGGCCAAAGAAAAGAGAAGGATTGAGTATAAGACATATCTACCACCTCCTTACAGCAGGGAATGCTACAGAATACCGGATAGTATATATAAAGAGCTGCAGTTCAAAAGGCTGCTGCATGGACTTAACGAAACCTTGGATTCTGAGGACACCAGACGTAAGCGTACGGTGTACCCCTCTTTACCAGGAGATGATTACGTATATGTCCAGACTGCTCAACTAAGAAGGTGTATTAAAGGCGAGGTCAGAAGACAATCCACGGATTAGTCATCCGAATCGGACGAGGGAAACACAAGCGAAGTGGTGGAGGACACACGACCACCTTTAAGAATAAGGGGAGGTGTTGATACAAACAACGGTTCACCACACTCACAATCATCATCAAACATGGTGATCGAAGACGAATACACAGGGCAAATAAACACGGAACACATTAACACAGACATAATTCAACTTACAGTAAGACCAAGAGAGGCAATAGTAAAGGAACGCAGGGAAGGTATTCCGAATCACGATGTAATCAGGGACAGTGATTTCGGCACCGAGGATGAGCAGGGAGGGATTAGAGTGAAAAAGAGAAAAAAAGATTCAGATGCGCTAAATGCGGCAAGGACAGTAAATCTGGGAATAAGCCAAGATGTGGCGATACAATATGATAAGCAAGTCCGCAGCTTAGGCAAAAGGCAAAATGAGATAATCACAGGGGAAACGGTGAAGAAGAAAATCGCAGTTGCGGTGATAAGAGATTTGCAGAATGTGAAAACAGGATACCAGGAATTAGTTGATGAGCTAGTACTGGGTAGACTCTGGGAAGCTAGAGCGTCTGATTAAACAAGGGCAATGGTAGCAATAAAAAACAAAAAAAGCATTCATTCAAGATTAGGTGAGATGGTATCCCATTGGTCCCTGAACGTGCTAACCTGGACCTAAAATTGAGCAATTCAACGATACCCCGAAATATTTGGTGTAAAATGCATTTAAACGAAATAAAGTTCGTATAACAGGGAATGGAGAACCATCGACATCGAAGGTGAATGTTCGAAATACAACAGATGATGGCAACACACAACACACAATTCAGCTCCTAAAATCTTTTGGCAGACAGTTATTCAGAAGGGAGAAAATAAATTCATACGAATTGTAACAGCAGATGAAAATACATATTCGGCACTTAAATTCATCACTGAGGAAAGATCTGTTATTCAACTTCAACTGAGCAAACGTCCAATGGTTATGATCTACGATGTTGATAAAACAATCAGCCCTCAGGAGATAGCATTCAATATGTTATCACAAAACACGGGCTTGGGAAATATGTTAGGCGTAGCTGCCAGAAATATCATGAGACGATTATTTAAAAGAGGGCCAAGAGATAAGGATACAGTATGGTGGGAATGCGAGGTCAGGCCTGACATACATGCCAAAATGCTAACCGCAGGAAGAGTGTACATAGGCATGTCAAATTGCAGGACTTCGGAATATTTCGATTTCCAGCAATGTTTCACTTGTCTAAAGTACGGTCACTCGGAAAAATTCTGCAAGGAAACAACGATGACCTGCACGCACTGCGGATCCAAGGGACACAGAGACACAATAAAAAAGAAGACCCTCCTGTTTGTGGTAACTCTAAAGATAATCATGTTGCTCACTCCAAGTTCTTCAGAGGAAGGAGGAAAGCAATTGACAATGTCGTAAGGAGAACCGATTACACGGATCCTTCATGCCAAGCATAATGCAAAAACAACCCTTAAGGATCGTACAATTGAATATGAACGGACAGTTCATAGTCGCAGAACAACTAAGAGATTATTTTATCAATAAGAAAGTAGACATAGCCTTGGTCCAGGAACCACCTTCAAGAGGTGGGTGTATTCCTGGACTAGAAAATATCCCGATTAGAACAATTACGGGAGCGGACTCCGAGGCAGGAGCCGCAATCATTGTTTTTAATCCCAATTTATCTATAAATTATCAGAAAAAATATAGCCGTCGCCACAGTCAAACAGAAAAACAGAAAAGTCAAAACATTTATTTCGGCGTACTTTAAATTTAACACAGCTATCTCAGATTTCATTGTTAAATTCACAAACACACTGTCAATAATAGAATCTGGAACTATTATAGAAGTCGATTCCAACGCACATTCAGATATGTGGCATAGCCAAGGGAAAAACAACACCGACATGTAAAACGAAGAAAGTTTGAGGAAATGATCAAAGATCTACTTCTTAAAGTGCATCAACCCAAATAATCAACCCAATCAACCAAACACTTACTGCAGGACAGACATGGGATCGTCAAACATAGACATAACACTATCCACGAAGGACCTCGAGTACAACGTTACAAATTGGAAAGTCAACACTGAAATCACTGATAGCGATCACAGAGTGATATCATTTACTGTGCTCTCCGATCAGGACACTACCACAAACCAATCAAGAGAGATTACACGTTGTAACGTGGAAAAAGCAGATTGGGATAGCTTTAAGGGACAGCTATTTGTGGAAGCTATTTCTAAAGCGGCAAAATCTTCAATTCCAACTAAGGGGACACAAAGGGGTGAAAAATTGCCCCATGGTGGACTCCGGAACTGAATATTTCAGGCAGAGAAGTAAACAACTACAGGGAAAACAAAAATTACAAGACGACAGACAGGGCAAGCTACAGGGTAGTCAGAAACAATCACCTAAGTCTCATAAGATCTACAAGGTTCAACCAAAGGAAGAAATTTGCAGGAAGCGCAAACAGTAAAAAACAATAATCTTTGAAAACACCAGATGGTGATGTCATGAGAACGCCAATGGAAACCGCATGCCTGCTGTTAAAAACCCCCATTCTCCATAATGGAACTGAGATCACTTTAGCGGACAGGCGAGTGGGACCACTGATCGCAGTGAACCTTACCGCTGACGAAGTAAAAGATATGGAGAATAGGTCTTAAGAAAGCCCCTGGTAAAGACGGACTACAGCGGCAAATTATACGGAAGGCATGGCCAATAGTTAAAGACCAGCTTTACAGACGATGTCTGCTGAACTCGTTTTTCCCCAGGTGCTGGAAAGATGCAGAAGTGGTAGTCTTGCTAAAAGAAAAAGACAAGGACCCGACGGAACCGAAATCATACAGATCGGTGAGTCTCTTACCGATACTAGCCAAAGTACTGGAGACATTGATAATAAAAAGACTCAGGCAAGAGATAACAAACAACTTATCGGGTGACCATCATAGTTACACAGCCAACTGGTCCACCCTTAGTGCAATTGACTCCCTCCTGCATTGGGTAGTGTCGTATATAGTAGACAGTCGTCACTGTAATATACACATAATATAGGTGGAAACATTTTAAATTATAAATTGTTGACATAGGTCAGGCCAATGAAGCAAGATGTGCTGAGGCAGCAATAATATTTTACTATATAACATAGGTAATTCGCCAGTCGTGGTACGGACCAAGTATTTTAAATAATTGAATTATTTATGTTTGTTTTATAATTTAATAAAAGTGTTTTCGACCCCAGAAATTATATGTTTTGTTTGAGTAGTCACACAATTCTACGTACTCTTTAAATCCGATCTATAACCGATTAATTTATGGTCGTTGACGATCTAAGGTTTTAATGGTGAAGGTAGTCCTACGTTAGTTGTATTCTTTCAATCTAATCTGTAACCGGTTAATTTATGGTCGTTGAAGATTGAAGGTCTAAACAGTAAGGTAGCGATATCGACGTTTAGAGAGCCAAACTGTAACCGGTTAATGTATGGTATTTTGGTAACTCAAGTGTCGATAGAGGCATATCACTGGAAAGTGCATATACGACAGTGGTGCTCAACGCGGTTCTTATCCATGGCTGGAGACATTTTTTTTTTTGTTTTGTGCGTGTGGCTTGGTACCTCAACCTTGGCACCTTTAATTTTTTCTGAAGTTTATGTAAGTGAAGTAGTTTAGAGTTTTTTTACAAGTTAAAATAAAAGACTTGTGCGTTATTTGGGTATACAGGAGTATCCCAGAACGCAATTGTGTGTGTGTACACTGAGTGCGAGTAACACATACGCGTTCGGTTTTTTCTCACTGAAAAGACGACATTTTAAAGAGTGAGAAAAAATATTTGGCTAACCATGCGTCTTCAAGCAAAGGTGAGAAACAATTTTTAATATACATGTATATTAATATTAGGATTTTAGATTAGTTTTTTTAATAATTTAAATAGTTTTTAATAGTTTATTTTTCTTTCGTCTTTCAAAACTGTATTTAGTTTATTTGAGAAAAAGAAATATTTTAATTTTAATTCTTAAATTATTAAAAAATTAAGTAGTTAGTGCTAAGTATAAATATGTTAATACAAATCAACCTTCTTCATTAAAAATAAATTTCTTTAAACAAACTCCTAAATTCAATTAAATCTTAATGTGATATGAATAACGAAGAACTTATAGCCTTAGGTTCAAAAATTACTAAATTAACAGATATTTATTCACATAAAAAATCAGAACTTATTGACCTATGCAAATCTAAACAATGAAAAAACGTAGGAACCGTAGATAATCTAAGAGCTATGTTTTCAAAATATTATAAAGGGATTATAGCATTAGATGACATTGAAAAAACCTTAAGCGAATTACAAAAACACGAAATTCAAAAAAAATCAATAAAAGATAAAATCGACATTAAAGACTTACTTATACAAAGTAACTTAAGCGATTCAAGCCCAGAAACAAGTAATAGTACTAAAAATAGATCAATTACTAAATACCTGAAAAATATAACTAACGATTTAGGAAATAACACAAATAAATTAAAAACTCAGGCAGACAAAATTTCAGACACAAGTAATACATTATATCAAAATAATTTAGAGCAAACCTCTGACAACAATTATAGTAAGCTAATAAACCTAGACCCTAACGAGACAACCCAATGAGAACCCATATACGAAAAAATCTATAGTCCAAATAAAATAGAGTCAAACTTAAATACTACCTTTTTCGGTAACTTGAGATTTATACCACAAAGCACTCCTGAGAAATCACCTATAGCAAATATAAAGTCAAAAACTAAAATGGAAAAAATGATAATCAAACCAGAATATTTTTCCTGTCAAGAAGACATACAACATTTTTTTATACAGAATGAAAAGGCGGGATTAATAAATAATTGTGATGACAATGACAAAGTTAAATTTTTATCCATATTTTTAAAAGACACTGTAGGTACATTTTTAGAAAATTTGGAAAATATTAAAACACATTGGAATTGGGTAGAATTAAAAAATGAATTCTAACTGATCGGTTATTCTATCTGTTGAATGTAGACAACACACCCTGTATTATGTAGATTACAAGCAAAATTATTCACATTGTAGTACAGGAGACGCTGAATAGGCATTTTATATTTTTATAGCATTTCGTTCTATGTAGTAGCCTGTAGGACGATTAGTCGTTGTTTTATATTACGCCTCGGAGCACTATAGTTATTCGTATCAATTATACATATTATTATATTATTACATATATCCGATCTTATTTCATTTACCTTAGCTTCTGTATATCTGTGTACATCAACAGGTTATGGGCCCAGTAGTAAGGTATTTATAATAAAGTCGTGTATGTTTTAATACATTAATTATTTATTTACGAGTCGTGTGTTTGTGTACAGACAGTGTACAGCAATATGAAGTATAGTGCAGTGTAGTGTAAGTGCATCGATCGTGTGAAGAGCAGAAACTGTGTTTGTTATTATTACGTTTATAGTGTACAGACAGTGTACAGATAACTCGTTCTTATGGAAAACGAATCTATAAAAATTAATAAACTAACAGGTAATGAAAATTGGGAAACATGAAAGTTCCAAATAAAAGTCATAATGACTGCAGCCGATATATTTGACGTTGTGACCGGAAAATCGAAAAAAACCCGTTCTTACAAAATCTTGTTCAGAAACTGAAGATGATGCAAGAAAAAGGTATGGTGTTGATTATTCAATATTTAAAAAAGCTGACAATAAGGCTCAAAAGTATAAAGTTACGTCAGTGGACGAACAACCACTGCAGTACATAATGAACTGTGACACGGCTAAGGAAATTTGGGACAAGTTGCTTAGTGTATATGAATAAAAGTCGGACTCGAGTGTAACGATGATTCAACAAAAGTTCTACAGCTATGTTATGAACCCAGATGATTCATATTTCGAAATTGGAGAGTCTTAGTAGAAAATTAAAACAGTTGGGCGAACCAATATCAGACCCGATGTTGATGACTAAAATATTAATGACTTTGCCAGAAAATTACAAACATTTCTATAGTGCATAAATGTCCAAATGTGACCAAATGTGGATAAAACATTGTCTAATTTGTCATCCAGACTCATGGTGAAGGAAACAAGGCAAACTCAAGGACATGATGTCCAGAGGGATATTGCAAGTAGTAGTGCGTTTTTTGCAAAGAAATCGTTTGGAACATATAATAAAGAAAACACACGAAAATTGGCAATTCTGAAAATCAACGGAACAATGATTGGTTGGGGTACAATCAAAGGACATTGAAATCAGTGAATCAGAAAAATGGTATGTGGATTCAGGTGCTAGCGATCACATGACCTGCAGAAGAGAAAAGTTCAGTAAGTATGAGACATTTGAAGTGCAGTTACCAGTACGTATTGGCGATGGTAAATAGGTATATTATGGCTATTGGTTAAGGCAATATAAATGTTCAAGCGAGAATTGGTGATAAATGGATTGACAGTCATTTGTTGAACGTTTTACACGTACCCGATCTCAAGGTAAATCTGTTTTAGTGTGGAGCATGCCTCGATAAAGGTATAAAAATGGTGACAGATAGTGATGGCTGTATATTTAAAAAAGACAATCGTATAGTTGCTATTGGAGCTCATGAGAATAAAATGTTTTCAATGCTTCTGAGAACTAGGCCATTACAACAGGCTGACCAAGCAAATGTTGCGATTAAAAATTTCACGTTACTACAGTGGCATGAAATGCTGAGTCATCAGAATGTTCAATATGTTCGGAGTTACTTAAAACATGTGTGGATCCCATTTACAGACACGAAAAACAAATTTTTCTGTGAAGCTTGCATTTATGGTAACCTAACCTAACACAGAGAGCCATTCACATCGAGTACTACTAAAACTACAAAGCCAGGTCAGCTAATTCACAGTGATGTGTGTGGTCCTATGGAGGAAAACTCACTTGGAGGTAAACGATATTTTGTTATTTTCAAGGATGATTTTCAGAGGAAGAACATTCAGATATGGAACGCAGACAAAGAGTTCTATCGATAAAAATAAAATTTGACAAAATCAAAAGAGACGCAATCATAGATACATTATCAAATCTTTTTTGTATAGACTACTCACTAATAAACAATAAAGATCAAATAAAATCAAAAGAAAAAATTAAAATAACAGGGGCAGTTAATTCTGAACTTGAACAATTAAGAAAAATCGATTTAAAAATTAAAATAAATAACGTAACATATTTGGTAGACGTATTCGTAATCAATGGGCTAAGCTGTAAAATACTTTTAGGAAATGATTTCCACATAAAAATAGTTTAATCATAAATTTCGAAGAAAAATATTTAAAGTTAAACTGCGCGGCGACACTATACTTATGGATATAGTTTGGTATAATTATAATAGGACATATAATATAAGCTCTAAAAACGATCTTGATCACGAACCTTGTTCAAACATAAAGAAAACACTTAATACAATTATATCTAACGAAAATATTAAAATAGCTCTTAAGACTAGGTCAAAATGAAAGGTGTCCGCAAAACTACAAGACTAGCAAATACAATATATTATAATAAAACCAACTGAGAGCTTATGAAATAATAAAAAAATAACTCTAGAAACAACATTATTAAATAGTGATGACGAAGTTATATTATACAATTTCTCTAATACTTATAGTAATATACCAAGAAACATGGTCATAGCAACTTCTATTGAATTAAATACGATTAAACGTGGTAAATACGAAAGAAAAAATATTAATTCAGACAGTAAAATTATTAATAATAAAAAAACAATAGTATCAAAAATAACAGAAATAACGGATAAACAGGGTACAATAATAAAAATATCTAATGAGCTTAGCTATGAGCAACCTAAAAAAACACAAACACTAATAAACAAATTTAAACATTTATTCACCTCAGATCCTTTAGATATTGGATGTGCGAATGTAGAACCATGTGAAATAAAATTAAAATCCGACAAACCTATATTTCAATCTCCGTCCAGAACCCTCCCAAATCAAAGGGAAAAATTGAAAACACTAATAAATCAAATGATTGAAGCTAATATTATCGAACCTAGTAGAAGCAATTACGCAGTACCAGTATTTTTAATTCCCAAAAAGGAGAAAGGCGAATACAGATTTTAATAGATTATAGGAAACTAAATAATGAAACAATTAGTGACGAGCACCCTATACCTACATCACAAGACCTTTTTAGAAGCTTAGATGGTGCAAAATACTACACTTCTATCGATCTTTGCCAAGGTTACTTTCAAATTCCAGTAAAAAAAGAGGACCAAGATAAGACAGCCTTTATCACGGATTTTGGTTTATACAATTTTAAACGAATCCCACAAGGTTTTAAAAACTCGGGCCCTATTTTTCAAAGAGTCATTAACTACATATTCAGTGATTTTTTAAGGCGAAAATAATAGTAAGTGTGTGGCAGTCGTGGTATGTCAATACTGTGAGACACGCTTGATTGTCAATTTTGTGTTTGTTTAAATAAGTTAGTAAAAAGTGTTTCCGACCCGAAAATGTTATGTTTTGTTTGAGTAGCTACACAATTTTACGTACTCTTTAAATCCGATCTATAACCGATTAATTTATGGTCGTTGACGATTTAAGGTTTAAACGGTGAAGCTAGTCCTACGTTAGTTGTATTCTTTCAATCTAATCTGTGTTGTATTCTTTCAATCTAATCTGTAACCGGTTTATTTATGGTCGTTGAAGATTGAAAGTCTAAACAGTAAGGTAAAGATATCGACTTCTAGAGATCCAAACTGTAACCGGTTAATTTATGGTATTTTGGTAACTCAAGTGTCGATAGAGGTATATCACTGAAGAGTGCATATACGACAGCTGGGATATACTTACTATGTGTCAATGAGGTTTTATTAAACTGAATATCAGGGACTGGTACCGAACCTAAAAGAAGCGGTTCTAGAACCTGAACCTTTAAAATATTAAGAAACGAGACTGGAACCGAAACCATTGTTTTAATAAATAAAGTACCGGAACCGAACCGAATTTTTTTAATTAAAAAGGTTCTTTAGGTTTAAAAATGAAATAATTTTATTTATCATAATATTTAAAGGTATTACTGTTTTGTGTATAATCTATGTATGATCATATTATGAATTTTTTAATATTTATAATTCTACTAATTAAACCCGTATTTAAAATTATTATACTTTTCGGTACCAAAATTATGTGGAACCGGAACCGAAATTATTTGGAAGCGGTACCTTTATTTTTTTTCATCAAAGAATCAGAACCGAATCGGAACTGTTATTTTATTTTTGGAGAACCGGTACCGATAAATTCAAAAGGTTCCAGTCCATGCTGAATATTGAGTAGTAGGTACATTGGTACATTTAATCTTTGAGTCATTCCAATTTAAAAGGAATGGAAATAGAATCGGCTATCGCATACCATCGACCATCGTACCTAACGAGTTAACAGTGCCATTACTATTTGTTTTAGAGGTATCATTAGCTAGAGAGTACAAGGGTAAGGCATATTAGGTTTACCGCTTATCATTCTATACGGGTGATACCAAACTTGTAACTTAAGTTAGGCTACTCCCCAACAGAAAATATACGTTAAATTGTACTTGGTATAACTAAGTGTCTTGTCTAACATCAAAATCCTCTATTATACGAGTTATAACTCCGTTTGTTATTAATCTGTAACTTCGGATACAACGTAGGTATACCAGTGAGAGACAACCATTTTATTGTTACCATAATATACCGCGTAACTAAAAAATATTAACTAATGTGCTTAGTTTATGTAAAATTTAAATCAATATTTCATAAGCACGGTTAGAATCATCATCAAATATAGTTGCTATCCAGGCATTGATATATATTATAAACCATTGAAAATTTACATAGCAAAAGCCAAGCTACGAGAATAAAATAAATAAACAAATAGGCCATATTACAATAATAATGAACTAAATGTAAATTTAATTTTATTTGAGTTTTAGGTACCTTATACAATGCGTATATGAGAAAATTTTTTAAATACACAAGTGTCAAGTGATGAGGATATTTCATATTATATAGATAAAAAAAATGATTATACTAGTACATACTACATTGTAGTACATTGTAGTAATCACCAAGTCTACAAATACGAGTCCTTAACATTAGATAATAATTTTGTATACGTCTTGTTTCTAAACCATTTTAAAATTATACTAAAATAATATATGCATGTAAACTTATAATTATTATTATATAAAATGGTATTTGAATTAATAGTTTAATGACATTTTTAAAACCCAAATTATTAAACTACCTATGTAATGCTTTTAAAATATATTTTCTGTGGATAATATGATAATTTAAATATATTATTAAAAATTGTTTCTTTATACATTTCTAGAATATCAAACAATCGGCCAAAAAATTATTACAAAACATCTTAAAAACAAATTTATTTTCTAGGGAGATTATCACAAGTTGTTTTAAAAACATATTTATATTTAATAAAATATTTTCTAAACAATTTAAAAATTATAATATTGGTATGTGGGTTTGTAGTAAAAATGAGTTTACGTTTTGCGTATGACAACCATCTGATAAAGTTTTACACGTGTAAATGAATGCCGACTAAACTCTGTTTATCGAGTGATGAATTCCTGGTGAAGGTTAAAAATCAGTTACCGCTAGAGTTCACTCATATATAAGATAGAATATAAGATTATTTATTAAATGTTGGCTATTAATATTATTTCTAAATTACATACACATAGAAACAAATTAAAATAAATCAGATGCTGTATACGTCATAATGTCACAATCATAGTGTGAAAAGAAATATATTCTTTATAGGTACAATGTATTTTAACAATGATGGCATTAATAAAGAAAAACATAATAAAACTATTACACATTCGAAAAAGGTAACCAACTTTACAATACCAAAACATTGTCAAAAATCTATAAATTCTGTATCTTCTTTATTAATCAAAGAACCAATATGTCAAGATTCCACGGAGATTCAATCTTGTTCATTAAATTCAAGACCTATGTATCAAGATGTTAAAATCGAAAACTGTTTTTCATCCAAAATCAAACAGCCTCAAGAGATTGTAAAGCCTCCTAAATCAAAAACTCAAGAGATTGTAAAGCCTCCTAAATCAAAAACTCAAGAGATTGTAAAGCCTCCTAAATCAAAAATTTCGAAGGACAAACCAACTGTTGTTACTAAAATACCAAGTGTTCAAGTTAAGAAGGATGAAACTCCCCCAAAAAAATCTGTGGAAATGCTTCACACATGTGGTAAAGCCATATTGGTGGAATCCCCTATGTTTAGACGAAAAAGCTTATGGATAACTCCTAAACCATCATCCGTCTACAAGGAACATTATAATTCGATACCTAAAATAATGAATATAAAATATTAAAATATTAGGGATACAATTATTAAACTAATCACACCTAGTTTTTTTTTTTTTAAGTAAGGAGGTCTTGTGAGATCAAAATCAAAAAGTTGGACAATTGTATACCACTGTTATGAACGCATTAGCTATTAGTATATAGTATTAGCCCTTTGTATTAGAATATAAGAGTATATTATTGTAATCTGCGGGTAACGCCTAATGTGTGGGCGACTCCCGGAATATGGCAGCTACACGGCAGCCGCTAGGGAACCGTGGAGTCAGTCGTCTTAGGTCTTTTAAACCTGTACGTCGTTCTGACAGTCAATTATAAATATTACAGTGAATTATAAATTTCGACTCACAATAAAATTATATTAGTATTTAAATCTTTAAAACTGTTTTGTTGTACTCTCTCCAAAAATTGAACCCTCACACTACCGAAATAACAACGTTCAAACGGAACAACCCGTACGAGCACAACAACTGGTGGCAGCGGTGTCGCGGTCATAATTTTTGGAAAAGAAACAACTTCAGAAGGATAACTAATATATCTAATATATATCTATTCGAGGTAATTTTATACTTCATTTTGCAAATATTAAAACTACTTCGTCCACGTAGGTATATCGTCATAAGGACTATATCAATTGAGAGGTGGCATATAAGTCGCTCTCGTCAAAAAAGTTTTTCACGGGCGTTCCAGTTGTCAACAACAAGCGCACCGTCTATAGTGGACACGCATTGTATTCAACGTCGTGATCTACTCTTCACAACACCATTATAGCCACGGTGCCGCCGCCGTAGCCGTCGTCACCGTCGCCGTCGTGGAGTCACCACCGCCGCTGTGTTGCTGCAGCCGCTCTTGTCGCGATAAGCTGTTACGTCAACGCCAACGCGTCGTGGGGCACACAATCACTTGAGCACAATACAACTGAATGCGATGCATTCATGGGTAATATTGTAAGCTAATTATTAAAATATTATTATACATATATATTTATTTTTTTTTAACGTATTATTGTCGACTGGTACGACTATAAGTCGTTGTCATTATTACTATTAGTATTTGTATGATTATTATTATTTCTATATCAATAGTGGTATTAACTATAGGGAGTGGTGATACTACAAATTATAATAATCTAGCCATATTAATTTAATAAATTTTTTTATTTTTATTTTTACGTATACAATTTAATGCATGTCAGATAGGTCTAGTAATAGTAACAGTAGTTCCAAGAGTTCTGATTTAGACGAAAACTACGTACCATCGCGTCCGATTGACATAAGTCTGTTAGGATTGTCTAGGCCTGTTACTAGATTACTGAATAACCGTCAAAAAGAAAACGTAATACAAGATTGTAGACAATCGAAAATAACAAATAAAAATTTTAATTCAAAATTGCTAGTAGGTACAAAAGATAATATTCAAACTATAGAATCTAATAACACAATGGCACTACCTACTTCGACCACATTATCCTTAGAGACAGCAATAAGATTAATTCCACATTTCAATGGGGAGAATGTACAGGAGGTATATCCATTTATAAACGCATGCAATTTTGTCATGCGAAATGTTGATGAAACCATAAAACCGGTACTCTTACAAGTTATAATTACTAAGTTGTCAGGCAAGGCGTTCGCGATAACCCAACATAAAGAAATTTCTACATGGGAAATACTTAGGGATAATTTAGAAGGCACTTTCTGTGCTACTCGCACACCCGGATATCTTCAGTTAGAGCTCACTACTACTAAATTCCAACAAGGTGAAATGGTACGAGATTATGCAACGAGAGTAGAAAAACTATTGCATGAACTTTGTAACGTAAGCACAAAGGATAAATCAGCTGGTGACGCTAAAGCTATACATAATTACATAAAAGAAACAACTTTAACTACATATATTGAAGGTTTACCATCTACTATTCGGGGTGTAGTCAAATCCAAGAATCACCCAACGTTAGAAGAAGCCATAAAGGATAGTTTAGAAGAAGAGAAGATTTATCAATCAAATAAAGGAACACAACGTTTGTTGAATAACAAACCAAATAATATGAATATTAGTAAATATTGCAAATATTGCCGAAAAACAAACCATAATACACATGAGTGTAGATTTGGAAACAACAATGTCGATACGGGACAGCAAAGTAAACAATCCAAAGGATTCAATAATCAAAGAAATCAGGAGACTAAACAAGTATCGTGTATTTATTGCAAGAAAACTGGTCATACTATAGATGTATGTTATAAGAAGAAAAATGCAGATACAAGAAAATCAAATAATAATAATCAACCATCAACGTCTGCAGGTACAGACAGTAGTTGTCGAACATGGTGTTATAATGGATTTGTTATATTTAAATTCAACGATAAATCATAGTTTACGAAATATGATTCCAAGCGGAGACGTTGTGTCATCCTCGTACACCTGTGCTAATAAAATCAAATGCAATTGTAAAAAAAAAAAAAATCATAAAAATCAAAAATATCACATGGCTATAATATACAGGGTGATTCTTTTATCAAACAACACTCATTATTTGAAAAAGTATTGACTTTTTTCAAATTTTTTTTTTCTTCAAAATTGTAGATTTATGCTGTTCTAGAATTGTATATTTTTTTATATTTTTCACCCTTATATTTAATAGGTAAACCACTATCAACTTTTGATTTTCAAATGGTAACCTATACTAAAAATTTCATAATTGAATAAAACTATTTTTTTCATTAATTATTACGTTCAAATTTTCATTTTTCGTTAATCCGTTGATGAGATATTGCTCCTCAAAGTTAGGTGGTTTTTGGAGATAGTTATAGTGTGTAAATGTGTTATACCTCGTCAGTAGATACCGCAGCTATCGGGATTTTTATGTCCCAGGGCAAAATATATCACACTTTTCAAATCAGTTCATGAAGTACTTAGAGCCCCTAAATGTATTTTATTATGCCCATCTTGCAGGGAGTCATGAAGTTCACCCCCACGAAGGTGATTGCGGCACTGGTCAGTGGTCGTAATAATTATTATCAATTATAAAGACCAGAAGTTACAAGTAATAAATTCGATATCGTTCGACCCAAGATATAGTGGTGATAATCTTTGTACCTGACAGCCGATAATACCTACATACAATAACAAACGATCATATTATTATTGGTCTGCTTCTGTTTGTAGCTTCGATCACAATTTAATCTCTACTCTATTCTATGCTACGACACACCATAGACTAACATACAGAAATACAGAATTATTTTAGTCCATAAAAGTTAATGTTGTCCATGGTTTATCATTATAACTGTCTATCATACAGAAAATACAGTGTCACCAACATATGTGTATTTACAAAATAAATAGTAACAGTAACTTGCTGTTTATTTATGTCACAAATAAAATCCCGTTTTTGTTACTCTAGTAGACTGCCTGTACTACAGTTGCAACAACTGTTAACTGTTTTAAATCGCTGCTGTAGTAGTGTACAGTAATTTATTGTCTGTAGTTGTCTGTTACTCGTTACTGACTATTATAATTTATAGCATGGTGCATACTGCATAAATATACAATATAATATGATATAATAACCATATTTAATAAATTAACAATAAATTAACTTAATAGGTAACTTAATTTTTTTTTTATACCTATAATATACATATAACTGTGTATAGCTTTGGTAGATTTAACTAATACAAAATAATGTGTTAATTATTATTATAGATTTAATATATCTATTTTATGCTGTTTACCTTTTGGATACTTTGAACATGTAAATGCCTATTAGGATTTAAGTTTTTTAGTGATAATTTTTTTTTTTTTTTTTAACAAATCAAATATCCTCTTCTCATATAAAATATCATTTGTTTATTACAAATCTGGAAATACAATACTCTGAACTAATTTAATATTAAGTATAAACAACTCTTTTTTTGATGTTTGCAATTTCAATTTAATACATTTACAATTTCAAATCAAATATTAGTATAATATAAATAATTCACCGTACATAGCTTCAATAGTTGTAATATACTTTGTAGGACTAGGTCTTTTTGACCAATCACATGAATTTAATCAATATGTAGGTATTTAAATAACAATGACATACATCCAAATATACATATAGGGCACTGATCAACTTATATAATTATATTTTATGTAAAAAAAAAAAAATATTTTCAATGTCGTGAATAGGGTTTGAGACCATTGGCGCAACTAGAGGGTGCAAACGGGTCTTTAGCACCTCTTGTTTTTTTAGATTTAACTATCATTATTATAGTGAAATACCCCCAATTTAATGTTTTTAAAATATGAAATATTATAGCACCCCACGTTTTAAATTTTTTAATGTATATTTTCTACTTTAATATGATGCAAGTGATAACCACTAACAAAAACTAGGGAGAGAATAACCATTTTTTAGATTGCTTAATTTTGATTATTTAAATGTTTTTTTAAGCGTTTGATTTGATGATTTTAGGTTCTGTTTAGCCCTGAACCCTGTTCACGGTAAAATTTCTCACATATTATACTGATATTATTATGAACCATTAAACAATTTTACCTTAATAAGCCTAGGACTATGAAAAACCTATTTCAAAATGATGATACAGTTTAATCTAAATGTTCGTTTTGCAGTTAATATGCAAAATATGAGTAAAGATAAAACGTGTATTCAAAAAATTAAAACAAACTTTTCAATCACCCCAGACTTAAAAAGCAAAATTTAAAAATGGTGTTAATAATATTCTAACTTGAATTTAGTACTAATTATTATTTGGTGACAACACCAATCATTGACAGAAATAATTTAGTATTTATCATTATGACATTATACAATGTAGCACAGTAGACTAATGTTTTTGGATGTTTAGATTATTATATCTCTTTTGTTAAAGGGCTTGTCCGTAAAAAAAAAAAATGTTAAAATAAAAAATAAAAATAAAATTATTATTAATCACATAGCCAGCTAAAAATTCTTAATTTGATTTAGGACATAATCTACATATTAAACACAAAATAAATA